CAAGCTGATGGTTGGATTGATTTTTTAGCATAAATCAGTACCAATTTACCATCGAAATGAATGAGCAAATTTTAAAGAGACTGGTTGCCCTTGCGAGGGGATCGAGTCCACGACCTAGTGCATGACAACGTTTTTATTTCCCACTATGGCACTTAAAGGTTAGGTAGAAAATGAGGAGAAGGAAAAAGAAGAGAAGGAGAACGAAGTGAAGAAGGGGAAGGGGAGTGTCTGCCCGCCAGGGAATAATATTGAGGTAAATATTGACTCAAAATCGCTGAAGTGCTATTCTTAGTGAAAATTTGTTTCCCGAACTTTCATCAAAGTTTTTCTTGTTTAACACAGAGGCTCGGTATTTCTTTCCCCAACTAATTAACTCATTTCAGAGTAACTCGGCACCATCTCGATGAAACTAATTCTGCTGGCATCCGGATTTTCGTTTCACAGCGATAATGGTTTTAGTGTGCGCCAGCTCTATCAGTTGCAAAGAATTATCCTTTTAGGGACTAAACTATTGATTCAATGCCGAAACAGGGACATAGTCAGCAAAAAGCTTTGGAAAAGCAATAAATTCGCAAAATTGCCAATTACTGCTGTTCTCGCGACCTTAAAAGTTTGTTTGTTTGGAATACTGTGCGGGTCGTGACGTGTATGTGTGGTTGAGTGTGTATGTGTAGCCAACACCTAGCTATGTATAAATATATATTTATAATTATATGCAGGAGACTATAATTACACAAAGGAAACTTGAAATAGGAGGAGAGAAAAAAAAGTTGGGAGGCTGTAGGGAGCCCAAGCTTCTCAGAACAGGACTGTATGTAGAACCAAAAAAAAGAGGATCCTGAAGATGGGAAGTGCTTTTATACCAGGGTGACCCTAGACCACAAAGACTGCATAACTCTAAAAAGGGGACGGGAGTGCGGTGTCCAAAAATTGAACAGAAGGCACCGAAAACACAGGTTTTCGACCTCAAGTACATGCATCTAGTTAAATGTATGTGTGCTGTCTTCCAGGGAGCTTGCCAAATAATCGCTTTCTTTCTCGCGGTGCGGTTCATTTATTTCGTATTGCTAACCGATTATCGACCAAAAGCGCAACATGCCCTGCTTTAAAGGATTTTAATTTCTCGTGCGGTCGCGTCTACAGTGTGCCTGATTACTTATATGGTCATGAAGAGACACGCCAAGCATTCTTCGCTCTGTTTTGGCTAGACCAACGAGACTGCTCATCTTCGGAAATTTTCGAAGATCGCCGTGTCGTACAAATCGATGCTCAGCCGCAACGCCTGAGTTTTGTGTGTGTTCGAGCACCCAGACGAATTGGTAGCTCAGCGCGTAATTGATTAGAGGTGTTCACTGCCACACTGAGTGACTCGATGTGCTTCAAATGTAACCCTGCAGTCCAATTTCCCTCCTCTCAGTAATCCTTAACACTTCGACCTACTTCCCTCCACTCACTGATTTCTAACAGTTCCACCAAATTCTAAAAAATTCCATATTACCTACCTTCTCACTCACCAACTAACTTACACTCCTTTTCCCTCCATTAATTTTCCCTACATAAACCCTTTTCTAAAACCCAGGCCCTTAGTTTTGGAAATTAACAAACGCCATTCGTCCGTTACGTTCTTCCACTATTAATGCTACTAGCGTCTCGCCTCAACACCACCAGCGTCCTTCTGCTGAACAGCTTGTGCGGCGCCCCGGCTCGTCGTTTTACGCGTCGTTCCACTTATTGTTTTATTTGAAGCGAAGCTCTTGTTGGAAAAATAAAGTGCTGGTATTCTTCCCTGTCTTCCGCTGTGCAGTCAAGGATCATGTGAGGACCTAACACTAATAAACGACCATATTTTCGCGTGGCTCCAAGGATACAACACGCTCTTTTGCCCTTCCTAGCACAATCGGTCCGTTAGGACTTTTTAACGAACCTCAACCGTAAATGCTACCAGCGTTGGTGAATAGTAAGGTGGTGGCGGTAGTTCCGGTTGCTTCCATTTCAAATACAGCAATTGTGTACCGGCTCCGATAGTGAACGAAAGAGCAAGCGCGATGAATCTTCGTTCCGGAAGACCCATCT